GGTTGGGTTGAGTTGGGTTGGGTTGGGTTGGGTTGGGTTGAGTTGAATTGAGTTGAGTTGAATCAGGTTGGGTTGAGTTGACCTGAATTGAGTTGAGTTGAATTGGGTTGAGTTGAATCGGGTTGGGTTGAGCTGGGTTGAGTTGAGTTGGGTTGAGTTGGGTTGGGTTGAGTTGGGTTGACTTGAATTGGGTTGAGTTGAGTTGGGTTGGGTTGAGTTGGGTTGGGTTGGTTTGAGTTGGGTTGGGTTGAGTTGGGTTGGGTTGGGTTGGGTTGGGTTGAGTTGGGTTGGGTTGAGTTGGGTTGAGTTGGGTTGGGTTGGGTTGGGTTGGTTTGAGTTGAATTGGGTTGAGTTGAATCGGGTTGGGTTGAGCTGGGTTGAGTTGTGTTGTGTTGTGTTGGGTTCAGTTGGGTTGGGTTGAGTTGAGTTGGGGTGAGTTGAGTTGGGTTGGGCTGGGACCCCCGTCTGCCCCGTGCCCCGCAGCCGCACTCACTGCCCGTCAGCTCGAAGAGGACGCGGTCGTTGAGGCCGAGGCGCAGTTCAGGCATCCCCGAGAGGAAGACCTTCAGGCGGATGCTGCCCACCACCTCACTGCGCACCACGCTGCCGCTGGCGCTCACCTGCTCCGAAGCCGCAGCCGCTGCTGTTCTTGGCAGCGCCGCCATCGCCCCGGCTGCGTCACCGTCACCCCGTCCTGGCCCCGTCCCGATTCCCAGCTCCGCTCCCATCCTTCTTCCCAGCCCTAAAACAATCAGTGCCCCCCCCCCCCCCCCCCCCCCCCCCCCCCCCCCCCCCCCCCCCCCCCCCCCTAGCCCATCCCACCCCCTACCTCAATCCCATCCCCATCCCCAACCCAAACCTAATCCCACCCCAATCCCAAACGCAACCCCCACTAATCCCCATCCCACCTCTATTCCATCCCCATCCCAAACCCCATCCCATCTCACCCCCATCCCAACCCATCCCCAACCCAATCCCATCCCAATCCCCATCCTATCCCAAACCCAACGCAATCCCACCCTCATGCCACACCCAATCCAGACTTCATCCCTTCCCCATCCCAATCCCAAACCCATCCCATTCCCACCCAACCCCAAGCCAAACCCTACTGCCTCCCACCCCAATCCCATCCTAATCCCATCCCATCCCAATCCCGTCCCAATCCCAATCCTAACTCAATCCAATCCCATCCCAACCCCTGTCCAATCCCAAACCCAATCCCACCCCAACCCAATCCCATCCCAAACCCCATCCCATCTCATCCCAATCCCAACCCAAATCTCACCCCACCCCCCGCCCCACCAGCAGGTTGACGGCCTCGACGACGTCGATGAAGACTTCGTTCTTTTTGTATTTGATGCCCTCGGAGCGCCAGGACACCGCGTTGGTCACCGTGGGGGGGACGCGCCCCCTCCCCGTCTCCAGCTTGGTGCCCTCCTGTGTGATGTACCTGCAGCGGGGGGGGCCGTGTGGGGCAGAACCCCACAGCCCGGCCCCATAGAGCCCCCCGAGACCCTCCCCCCCACGCACTCCTGTAGGATTTTGCTGTCTGTGGTCTGTGGGAAGCCGAAGTCCATCAGCTCATCCAGCAGCTCGTAGACGGTGACGAAGTTGTCCCGAACGCTCTCCTCCTCCAACTCCTTGAAGTACTCCGAGAAAACCTGTGGGGTGGCGGCGCCGCTATGGGGGAACCCAGTGGGGTGGAGTGGGGACCTCCACAGTGGGACCACATTGGGATGGAAGCAGGATCCCCCATTGGGACTGTCCCAGTGGGACCCCAAAGGGATGGAAGTGGGACCCCTCCTTGGGACTCTTCCAATGGGACCCCAAAGGGATGGAAGAGGGACCCCCATTGGGATTCTCCCAGTGGGACCCCATTGGGGTGAAAGCAGGACCCCCATTGGGATTCTCCCAGTGGAACCCCATTGGGATGGAATTGGGACCCCCCCTTGGGACTCTCCCAGTGGGACCCTATTGGGATGGAAGCAGGACCCCCATTGGGATTATCCCAGTGGACCCCAATGGGATGGAAGAGGGAATCCCATTGGGATTCTCCCAGTGGGACCCCACTGGGGTGAAAGCAGGACCCCCATTGGGACTGTTCCAGTGGGATCCCATTGGGGTGAAAGTGGAACCCCCCCTTGGGATTCTCCCAGTGGGACCCTTTTGGGATGGAAGAGGGACCCCCATTGGGATTCTCCCAGTGGACCCCATTGGGGTGAAAGCAGGACCCCCCCCCTTGGGACTCTCCCAGTGGGACCCCATTGGGATGGAAGCAGGAGCCCCCATTGGGAGTCTCCGAGTGGGACCCTATTGGGATGGAAGAGGGACCCCCAGTGGGATTCTCCCAGTGGGCCCCATTGGGGTGAAAGCAGGACCCCCATTGGGACTCTTCCAGTGGGACCCCTTTGGGATGGAAGCAGGACCCCCCCTTGGGACTCTCCCAGTGGGACCCTTTTGGGATGGAAGAGGGACCCCCATTGGGATTCTCCCAGTGGACCCCAATGGGGTGAAAGCAGGACC